TATGAAAGTTATATTAAAATAGTATGAAAGTGTTTGGAATGTACTATTTGAATTATATTTGTATGAAATGTTTTTTGATTGAATATAAAACTTGTTTTGTAATGTTTTGGTTGTCTGAATGATATTTGTATTTCGAATTGTTTGTTTATAATGTGAGACTAATTTGTATTTTTTTTAATTGAAACAGGGAATTATGTCGATTTTCAAATGGAGGGGGCATACAGAATGCATACTGTTATAAATTTAGTGCTTGGAACAATTTTTAGTAACAACTGTATGAATTTTGTGTACTTATTGAATGAATCGTGTATAAATTAAGATAAATGTGACACAACTTGCATATCGTTAATGATAAAAATCTGTTCCATATTAAGATATTGTATATATTAGTGACTAATTTAAGTTATTGTCGGACATATATAAATCATATTTAATTCAAACAAAAATAGGACAAAATACAACTATAAAAATTATACCATGACTAAATACAAATATCCAACATTTAATATTGAAGTCATAGACATATGCATATAAAATGTATTTCATACACGTTTCATCCATTCGTTATACAAATTAAAAAACACAGTGCTACTTTAAAAAATAATGTATCAGAACTGTATGAAGTCTGTATAATGTTTTTGTCCTGAACTTATAATATCCAAACATTATAGGTTAGTGCATGCCAGTCACCATGTGTATAATTAAAAACACAGTGTTACAATTTTTAGAACATTCAAAAGAGAATCAAAAGGTGCAATCAACTATTTTGATAACATATTGTAGTATATATCATCAAACACTTAAACAAAAAAGAATCATCCAAAAGTTAAACAGAAAAAAATTACCCAAAAGTTAAAAATAATAATATATAATTCTTAAAAAGTAGAAGGTGCAATCAACTATTTCAACTTTCTAGTCGGTGGTATTGGTGTAGGATAATTGGTGGTATCCAGAACATGTTCTTTTGCTATCCGAGGTCCACCAAATTTGCTAGCAACCGTACCAGTAACTTCACTTTTGTTGATCGCGCCATCTTTATTCTTTGTTTTTCCATAATGCCACAGGATTGTTGAAATCTCTCTTGCCCAAGAAAAGTCAAAAGATCAGCAAACACATTCATGTTGGAACATGAAGACCAGTGTATGTCTCTTCCTTTCCTATAAAATAAAATTGTGTATACTACATTAAAAGATACTTCATACACATATTATTCAGTTTCATACAGAAATATCATTTTCTTACACATATTATTCAGTTACAATACACAAATCATACATAACTTAATAGTTTCACATTTCATACACACTTCACACACATAGAATTCAATTTTCATTCCAGCAGAAACCATAATTCACATTTCACACACACTTCATATACAGTATATATAAAGAAATGACATAAATTATATTCACCTTTCGCACACACAGCATACATACATTATATTCACATTTCACACACACTGCATACACATATTATTCACACACACTCCATACATACATTATATTCACATTTCACACACACTGCATACACATATTATTCACACACACTCCATACATACATTATATTCACATTTCACACACACTGCATACACATATTATTCACACACACTCCATACATATATTATTCACACACACTTCATACACTTATTATTCAAAAAATTCCAGGAGTAGCTATACAATATAGAGTAGTTAAGTAAGATCATAAAATTTGAAAACAAAATTAATAATTCATATGCATATCAATGTTGTATCATAATTCATACAAAATACATCATTTAAAATTTATAATCAAATGCATAAACATTTTATTCAGATTTGGAACAAATTTCAGAAAAACAAAAATTTGAAAACAACAATAATAATAATAATGTGATAAAAAAACATAACTATTTTGAGTAATGTGAAAAATAAATTAAATAAATTACTTACCTTTAACCACTTTTTTTGGGCTTTTTTGGATTTTGGTAATTCCAGTTCATCCTTTTTTGTTTTTCTTCTTGTATAAGGTTTTGATGTTTCAGCGACTTCAACCTTTGTTGCTTTTTTTGTTTCACCAATAAAATTCGAATCTGAGTCGGAATCAGACTCTGGAGGGGTTTCAACAAGTTTTTTCCCCTTCCTCTTCTTCCCCCTTTGATTTGCCGTAGTCGCACTTTGGTTTGCTTCATTATTTTTATCTTTTTTATTCTTCGAACGAGATGGACCACCGATGGCCGGAATTTGAACAGTTTTAGATGGAGTGTTTGAGATAATATATTAAACGATGGAGCATGAGCATCATCAGTTGAAATTCAGTCAAATATGGGTCTCTTTCGTGGAGTTTCAATTTGTTTCTTAGACATGATGATGAATAATCGTGGGTAAGATGGGTGATCGATTTTGATGTTGGACTAGATGAGAAAGAATGGAGAAAGTTTGATAGTGGGTTGTGGGTTGAGTCGTGTGGGAGTGAAGAAACGTGTGAGATGGTGGTGTGATCGATGATTGGGGATGGTAACGGTAAACAAGGAAAGAAAATCCCTAAAATTGGGTAACTGAAAGTTTTAGTTTTTTAAAAAAGGAAGTAAAATCAAATTAATTATCTATGCATTGAACCGCTAAAATTTGTCCCTGTTTAATGCATTTACCCCGAGGAACCCTGGAATTTTTTAACTAATGCAATGCTTAGAATATCTCCATTACATGCTAAACAAATCTTGTTAGTATTGGCATAAACGACCCCTCCCTAACGTTACTCGAAATTTGTTATGCAAGTTCCAAGTAGCACCTTTCATTTGTATGGAAAACTGTATCATATGGCGATGAAGATTCCAATGGTCATGGTGGTTGAATTTTGCATCTTGAAAATTTGTTATAAGTAAGGATTCCACATTTCTCTGTGCAAGCCTTGCCTAAAACCAAAGATCAGCTTATGCTATTTATTGAGAAATGATAGTGCAGTGAGCTAGAAGAGGTAGTTAAAGTTTGTTGTAACTGAATTCCGCTGTCACTAAGTTTGTAAGAAATAATTTTACTTGGAAGTCGTTATGGTAGTTTAACTAGAGTTAGGTGATTCAATCAACATTCATACGGCACCAGTTGAAGTTGGGGCAGAAATTTTCTATCCCAAAAACACAATGGCCTCAAGGCCCCCCTCCCCCGCCCCGCCCGAGGCACCATGCCTCGAGGACCCCCTCCCCCGCCCCGCCCTGAGGCACCGTGCCTCAAGGCCCCCACTTGCTCTGACCAAGACTCCAATTTTTGCTCCGTCCGCGGAGCGTATGAATTTCCTGGAATGTAGGGAGGGCAGTTATGTAGGCGTACAACTCTTTCTAGGTTGTATTCAATCACGAATTATCAAAGAATCGATTAGTAGTATGCATGTGCCAGAAGACCTTCTCGCATATGATTTCTAGTCAGGCCCACAATAGCCAGTCAGATCCTACTCTAATTATTAAAGGCTTCAAAATCTGATTATATATTATGTTATATAATTAACTTTTATAATTTTAATATTTTTAAAGTATGGTAGAGGTCATATTGCTTCTCTCTTTATGCCTTTTTTCATATTTTTGACTATATTACTTTCTAATTTAATTAAATTTATCTGAATTAGCTACTCATTTTATATAATTAATGCTTTGTTAAAAAAAGGAATCACAATTTAACCAAGATTTCCTAAAAAATATCATATTACAGTAGTCTACAGGCCGGTACTCATATCACAAAAACTGCTTTAACGATATAGCAATTTTTGGAACTCTTTTGATCTTCCTCTCCTCCACCTCCTCCATTATTTGTTTTAATTATTATTATTATTATTATTATTATTATTATTATTATTATTATTATTATTATTATTATTATTATTATTATTATTATTATTATTGTAATTCAACATATATTATTTTTTTAATTTTAGATGCAAAAGTAGTCAAATCAAATGCAAATTTTTCCTCTAGGTAACCCTGTTCTCTATAACCTAATTTAGGGTAAAGAATCCTATTGCAGGTCATAGTTCAGCTAGATAGAACCTGAAGAAGTACACTGACAAGCATCTAAATCTTACTTGATCACTCTATTTTTCGATTTTATTCATTGTCATTTGCTGCCAATGTGTTTCAAGCTTAAAAGAATCTTTACTACAATGATGTGTTCAAGGAAAGAAACTCACTCAAACTGATTAGAAAATGAGAAAAATGGACTAGTAGAAGTGCCTCAAGAAAATTAGACAGTAGAATGAATGCACAATAAATCTCAGTGTTTCCTAATATCATACCACAACAATTTGAAAACAGATTTAGAATTGAACATGTAATAACATCTCTTGCAAAATCTAATGCATCAATGACTAAAATTACACCTGAATCATATAAATATCATACCATTTTCCTATATATCTTATGCAATTAAACATTCAAAAGATTCACCTTTACTATTATAGACAATACGGTCTATAGCTAGATCAAAACATAAAAACACCCACTATGTAGTTTGTTCTCATGATAATTTTGTTCTCCTTAATAGATTTTGCATCTCCTCTCGTATGAATGTAGTTCAATTAATGATCAAATCTTGTTATTATGTTCTCTCTAATTTAGCGTCGTTCAAAGTTTGCTTTATTAACCTCTGAGTGATACTCTGTTATTTCGATCCTTATATAATGAACTCAGGATCTCAGGCATAAACAAGCTTTGTTTTAGTTGAGATATAAAGAGGTCTTGTAGACATAAAGACTTCTACAAATGTTAACGACCGTATCGTCCAAAGTATAGAGTAGAACTTAATAGACAATTTTTCCTACAAGGAGGCTTGATTAGAGCTTGAAGGATAAATGATAAGATGTTATAATTATCATTTTCCTTTACATTATTAATGTAATCTCGTATGTAAGATAATATAGTGTTTTAGTTTTAATGACTAATAGATTTTAAGTATTATTTTATAAATTTTGTGATATTAAATTCCCGTGCGAGGCGCAGGTACTAGTATGTAATATAAAACTCGATATACACGTATCGAGAGGCTTGGTTTTATTGGTAGATTACAACATTAGCCTAACATTGTTAGGACAGAAATGAGAAACATCACTACTAATTATTTCTGATGTTTGAGGAAACAAAGATTTTTGAGTTGTTGAAGAGTCATCTAAGAGCTCAGATCTCAACTTCATTAGCAATCGTCCAAGATAGTTAAGACCTTCTCCGTCTCGACCTCCTCCCCAGAATAGATCATGTGGTGAACCCTCTACACAAGAACAGAGGCCACCGTTGAGAGCAACAAAGAGTTTAAATATGGGTACGTCGTGAACTTGCATTTTAAGGCCTTGTAATGACGTCAATCTTGACAGATTCCCAGTCCGGTCTTACCTGGAAAACACAGAAATAAGAGGGAAATGAACATAAGTTAGACGTTTATTACATTATACATTATGGACCATTAATACAGGGATAAAAAGGTTGAATTACGAGCAGGCAAAAAGGAGTGCAGTGCAGAACCAATATAGCCTAAATTGTAAAGACCAAGTATTCTTGCTTGCATCGGAGGGTTAGATTAAGACGGATCATCCATGTCCCAATTTCGTAAAATTGCTGGAATTAACAATGGATTTAGAAACAGAACTCATTAAGAACTAACGAGTGTAGCATCCGAAGGTAGTGTTTGCTACTGAAACTACAACTCTTTGTTGCACACAGGCAATACTTCCAAAGTCTCCTCCGCTTAATACTGCTTCCAACATTTCAACTTAACTACTTCTTTGAACCATACTTTTTGGAATCTAACTTGCCACACCCTAGACCCTGGGATTGTGCATAGACTCTCAATTCTCTACAACGTCCAGACCATACAGTATTTTCAGGAACAAACAAATCAAAATACAAACTTCCGCCTGTATTTATCATCTCGCTGCAATCTATCGCTATAACGTCAGCTAGGAGATAGCGTTTAAACTCACTTCACTAGCATCATAAATAAGGAGTAGACTTGTTGCAATCTAGTTGTTATACGAAGCAAAACTACAAGTGTTCATTATGTACAGTAATAGAATGGGTAAACACGGCCATAATAAACTAAAAGTCAGTGTAGCTCCCAACTCACCAACGAATGGTATGTACGTATACATCCACCCAAATACAAAAGCAAGAAAAAAAGATCTTACTACCAAAAGCAAGCTATACAAAGCTTCTGCAGAGAAGCTGCAGCTCCTTAATCTCCTTTGATGCATTGGTGATAGCTCTTGATGATCAGGGGAAGTAAAGCATACAACAATTACTGTGAGATTGTCAAATGTATTGAGCCGCAAGGCCTCCATGACAAGGTCCTTGGCACACTGTTCAGGATCATCATGCCGTCTTAGCCCTCGTGTGAGCAGTGGCGGAGCCAGAATTTTTAATTAGGGGGTTCAAAATTTGAAGAAATAGACACACAAAGTAGCCTAAGGGGGTTCGATATCTATTATATATACATAAAAAAATATTTTAACCATGTAAAAATAATATAATTTTCCGCCGAAGGGGGTCGGATGACCCCCCTAAAGATAGGGTGGCTCCGCCACTGCGTGTGAGTACACCATAACAATTTTTCTAAAGGACAGAGAAGTCGTTACTTGTTTATAGGTGTATCACAATGAATCAAGATCTTACATTCCCAACACAAGAGCAGCTATTAGTGCAGTGATTCCCCAAGAACTGCTAACATTGCAGTCATCATGCCCAGAGTCCCCCCCCCCACACACACACACCGAACCTCGAGGTAAAGGACAGAGAAGTTGTTACTTGTTTATAGGTGCATCACAATGAATCATGATCTTACCTTCCCAACACAAGGGCTATCAGTGCAGTGGTTCCCCAAGAACTGCAAATATTGCAAACTGCAATCTCCGTACCCTGACCCCCCCACACCCCCCAAACCTCGAGGTAAAGGACAGAGAAGTCGTTACTTGTTTATAGGTGTGATCTTAGGCATATTTATATGCCTAAGTTGTCGATATTTGCCCATGAATTGATTAGATTGAAGAATTATCTTTAGTTATTAGCTTGATTTTTGGTGTAACTTGTGATGACTGTGCACTTACACACATGATTAGTTGTTTCAGGAACTCTCGAAAGAATTGGGGTTGGAACGAAGAAAGAATGAGCAAAGACGTGCAAGAAAAATGGCTAAGGCAAAAAACACCAGTGGTTGGCGCGGCGCGCCACTGATGGTACTTCAGAGAAGATTTTGTGGCGTACTGCTGGGCGCGACGCTCCAAGCGCCATACTTCATAGTCCTTTCTCAAGCGCGCTGAGAGGCGCGACGCGCCAACACCTGCACTTCTGATGCGCCTACATGGCGCTCTGCTAGGCGCGACACGCCAAGGAGGAGACTTCAGAGGCGAACTGGAGGCGCGATAGGAGGGCGATGCCCCACTCTTCTCCCAACTTTTTCAAGTTAAAAATCATTAAATAGGATTCCTAATTGTAGTAGGATTGGTTCCCAACTTTTCAAACTATTATAAATATATCCTTAGGGCTCCATTATTAGGGGTCGACATTATTTTGGTGTGCAAGAGCAAGATTCATCTTTTGTAGTAGGTTTTGATCTTCTAAAGTCTTCTATTTTCCAAAAATCGCATGAACAATTGTGTAACATCCGGCAATTTGAAATAGCTATGAATAAGCTTAGAATTGGAAATAGTCATTTTTGGAAAGAATTAAAAATCTGGAAATTTAGCTAAGTATGGAAAAAAATGAGTTTTTGGTCAACTTCAGACAGTCATAATTCCTAGCTCAGGATGAATTAGGTGTATTTCCAGTTATTTTTGGAAATATCTTGGAGTGATCTTTCCAACGCCGCTGAGTTTGCTTGATTCCGAGTTCGTATGAGTGAGTTATGCCCTTTGGAAGTTGGGTTGTTGGCATAGGGAAGTTCTTCCGAATTTGTAAGGGTATTTTGGTCTTTTCCCTAACCATTTATTTTGGTTATATTAAGGGTCTAGACTGATTTTAAATCAGTTTTCCCTTTTAAAAGTGAGAGTTAGGGTTCTTGAGAGAAGAGGAGAAGGAGAAGAAGAAGCAAGGTTCGTAGAGATCGTCGTGGATTTCGTCGGGGGTGATCCCTATTAAGGTATGTGAGATCATAGTGTTGGGTTGGTTCATTCCCCCACACACCAAACTCGTTTTAATTCCGAGAAAAGATTGGTTGTGTTTGTTGAAGTTTGTGGTTGTGTTTGTTGAAGTTTCTTATTGGCTTGGTGCATGTTTTCGGTTGTGATTTCGAGTTGAATCTATTGTATATTAAGGGGTTTTATGATTCTAAGTGTTTGGGGCTGGAACCTTTGAAGTTAAGAAGGTTTAGAGTTGGAAAAACTAAGGAGAAAAGTCGGATTTTCGGGGGAAAAGGTTGGGCCGTCGCACCAGCCAGCACGCCCCAACAGGGATTCTGAAGTTTCCCCCTTGGGGCAGTGCACCTTGCAGAGCGTCCAGCAGGCCCCTCTGAAGTCTGAAGGCTGGCGCCCCGCGCCTCTCAGAGCGCCAAGGATGCCAATCCTTCCCATTCCTTCCCCACTTTTTCATATATGTTCCTTGGTAATGTACCTATGTTTTATAGTTGTTTTCAACACTCTAAGGTACATCTAAACATCAAGAACTCATCCATAAACATAAGATCATTACCCTTGAATCCATAATAACATTCGAGGAAAGTTAGGATCAAAGTCAAGTGAAGTTAGAGTCAAGCTTAGAAGTTAAGAGGTAAGTCAAAGCAAGTCTTTAAAGTTTTTCAAGAGTCTTTATTGAACATTTTAACTTCATTTTTTAAGCTCAAGTTTCAAGTTAAGTAAAGAGGATAGAGTTT